AAACCCCAAGAGGAGGGAAAAGGATGGTGGCATGGCCACCCCTCCTGGGGGGTGATTTCTTGCTTTCTGTCTCCCCATCTCTGTCTAGTGAGCGGGTCCCACACGGCCAACTGTATGGCCCCAGTCCCGACCACGGCAGTTTGGGGAGCATGGGAGCATGGGTGCATGTGCGTGCCCAAGATCCTGCGGGGACAGGGAGACAGAGGGGAAGGGGTTGTGGCCTGACCGTGCCCCTCTCCCTCTCCCTCTCTCTCTGTCCCTCTGGCACACACACTCCTTCACAAAACGTAGAGACGACTCAGGCAGGCAGTTAGTAAGGAGCTGCCGGTCACCACAGCTGCGGTTAAGAGGCCTGACCCAAACTTGTCAGGCAGCAGATAGAGCCCGGGGCTGGGCCGCCAGGAGCAGAGGCCTCTGACCCTAACCAGTGCTCCGGAGTGAAGTGGCGGCCTTGGGGTTTTCTTTCATAGGAAAGTTCAGGAACAGCAGTGGGTTCTGGTTGACTTTGTTTCACAGATCTTGCTTTTCAGTGGCTTGACTGCAGGCTCGGGAGGTGGGGTGACGAGGACCACAGGACCTGGTGGCTGAGGGGACATCGACTTCAAAGCCAGTTGCCAGCGATTCTGTTAGGATGTGTCCTGGAGCAGTCCCTTCCACCTGGTGTGCGGGGACTTCCGACACTGCCCTGAGGCTCGTTTTACCTAAGCCTCTCCTCGGGGGTCTCAGCACAAGTCTAAGAGGGACCAGTCTTCCACGTCGGTGTCCAGATGCAGACAGTTCACAGGCTGGGAAGCCCCAGCCAGGCTGAGCTGCTCCTGAATCACCTGAAGGTCGTAAGAGAGCAGCGGGCCTAGCCCCGGTTCCACTCCAGGATTTCAGTCTCACTCCCTTCTCAGTCGCATGGCCAGGAAGGGAGGAAGGTGGTATTCGAACTTGGGGAGCCTTCCCCTACATTCTGCCTACATCACCGCTAAAATATGCTGCAGGAGGGTGTGCTGGTCTGCTCCACCACGGGATCCACCTCCCGTGGAAGGTGGACCAGGCCAGGGAACACCACCAGCCTAGCGGCTGCCACCTGCAAGCTGTTTCCTGTTGGGGAGGGAATGGGGGTGGGGGAGCAATTTGATGCCTTTAGACAGGCAAGCTGATGGAGTGCCTGTCTCTGCTTAAAACCCCCAGCACCCTGCAGCCCCAGCCATGCGGCAGGATCAGAGGAGAGCCGCTGTTCTGTTCAGTCAGGCCTCGCAGGCCCGCAGGGCTCCTCCTTTGATGGGGATTTCTTTTGAACCTGAACTGCCTCTTCCATGATAGCCGGCAGCAGCCCCACAGTATGCTTCATGACGAGAATTTATCACCCCAGTGTAGGCGCTGGGAAGAGGCTGTTTCCATGTTTTGAGAGACAGAGTCCTACAGGCTTTGTGATGGTCCCCAGAGTGCAGCAAAACCCACAGGGACGCAGCAGGGCCCGGAAGAGACCAAGGGACCACGTGGATCACAGCCGAGGCTCTGCCAGGGCAGCGACTCTCCAAAGGGCCAGACCCTGACCAGGCAAAGAGGCATCCCAAGGACACGCATACAGTGCAGGGACTGGGACAGCCATCTAAGGGGGGAGCAGCTCAGCAGGCAGGATGGGGGGTGGAGGGGGCAGGTGGCCCTGGGTGGCAGTAGCGACGTTCACAGTCACTTTGCAGTGGGCGTCGAGGGTCCTCTGGGCCTGTCAAGAGAAACGCCAAGTCTGAGATTTCACCCTCCCAGGGTCAGAGTTGAAGCCCAGGGCCTCACCCAGAGCCATAGCAGGGGCGGGGCTGGGTGTCAGCACAGATTCCTGAACCCGGTCCCCACGGGGGCGAGAAGGGGCCAGCCCTGCACCCGCACCACAACGCGCAGGAGAGGACTGACGGGGGGCAGTCGGAAAGGACAACTCCTCCAGACAGCCCCCCCACGGCCTTACACAGACCACACACAACCCCTCCAGACAGCCCCTGTAGACAGACCCTACACACTGCCCTCCTCGGATCGTGGCAGAAAGGCTCCTTGTCCCCACGCACGCGCTAGCCCAGCCCAGGCCGCGGTGAAGGTGAGAGCGTGTGCCCAGGGCAGGGCTTGGCAGGCCAGCTCAGTCTCGCCGCCCTAGGCACTCTCTGGCCATGGGCGTCTTGTGTCCTGGCTTGCTGCCCGTGTGAAGCGCCCGGGGCTGTTGATCCTTGGGCATCAGCGCGCTGAGTCGGCTGGCACTGACTCTGGGCCCTCGACGCAGTGAGAGGGCGGGGTCCCTGCGCTGTGACGGGCAGCCCTGCTTTCTTCGAGCAGGACGCATTAAGAGCCGTAGCACTCACCTTGCCTGCTCATGGGACTTAAGGTGGCAGAGTCCCATAAGTTGCTGTTGAGCAGCAAAGAAAACGAAGAAGGCGTCAGCTGGCACGGCAGAGAAGGGTCAGCTGTGTGGCAGATGCTTCTGTGATGGTATCTGTGTGCTCGCCTGACAGTGTCCCAGGGCTGGCCGACCAATCGAGGTGCCCTCCGGGCACGTGGTGCCCACTCCGAACTGCAGGAACGACTGAAGGCAGGGCCAGCCAGGGACGTTCCCCAGGGCGTGCACACCCTTCTGGGGTGGTGGGCGAGGGCTGGTCCGGTCACAGGCCTGTACAGGGGTCACTTGTGGGGGCAGTGCACCTTCCACCGACTATCCCTACGGAACCTTTCTTACAGAGCAGGTGCGGGGTCCAGGACAATGTAACCATAAGTTACAGGTTTGTTTTTGTGTTTTTTTTTAAGAATTGTTTAACGTTTTTTCTCTATCTTCTTTTTTTTCTTCCTTCTTTTTTTTCTTCCTTCTTTCCTCCCTCCCTTCCTTTCTTCTTTCTTTTCCTTTTTTCTTCCTTTTTTCCTTTCATTTTTAATTTGACCTGAGAGGGACAGAGTGAAAGAGTGAGCGAGAGAGTAGAAAGCAAGCCACCAAGTCCAGGACTTGAACCATGGTCAGCCATGTGGGAGTGTCCAGTGCTTTAACCACCACACAACCTGCTGGTTCCCTATTTATTTATTTTTAATTTCACCAGAGAGGGAGAGATAGAGAGGGAAAGTGAGAAAGCAAGCTGCCAGGTCCAGGACTTGAACTGCAGCTGGCCCTGTGGGAGTCCAGTGCCCTTAACCACCACGCCACCTGCAGGTCCAGAAATTAGGTTTTTGTATTTTTATGTGTGTTTTTTGGTTTTTGCTATAGGGCACGTGCGCTTGCCAAAAAGAGTGACAGAAAGACAGAAGCCACCGGGTCCGAGACTTGAACTGCGGTCAACTACATGGGAGTCCAGCAACATAGCCATTACGCCATCTGCTGGTCCCCAGAAGCTAGTTTTTAAGATTGGTTTACCAAGTCTATCAACGACCCATTCAACAACAGCTTACGTGGCCCGTGGTGGGCTTCATGTATTACCTGTGCTCATTCAAACCTCATTCCAGAAAAGAACGGAGAAAGTGAGGTGCCATGGGCCGGCTCTGTGACCGGCAGTGAAGGCAGCCGGGTCCCACATGGCCGCTGTGTGGCTCAAGGCCTGGACCCAGCAGGGTTGAGGAACAGCCGCGTTCCTGTGCTCCTTGCCCAGAGTTCCAGAGGAGGGGCTGGAGAGATGGGGTCTCGCTCTCCGTGAGGGGTGCACTGTCCCTCCATCCTCAGAGCACGTGCCCTCTAGCCCGCCCGACCTGCCCTGTCCTGCCCTCTCCGTATATGCAGTGCAGGGGGCCGTGGCCGGCCTGCTCAGGCAGCCTGCAGGGGACAGCAGAGGGAGCAACCGGGGCGGGGGGAGGGGGAGGCAACGTGATCCTGGTGCAGGGGCTCTGGGGACATGGCGTGGGGGGGAGGTCCAGGCCAGGGTGCGGTGGCGGTGCGGATTCCTGCCACCAGACCAAGACACTACGACCTGAACTCCCTCCAGATGAAAGGGCACTGGCCTGAAAGCCACGAAGCAGGCTGACACCCACCCGCGTTCTGGGGACACGCACGCACACCCGTAGGTGCTCCCTTCAGTTCACTAAGGTGATAACTGGGCCTGAGAGCTGCTACACACCCTGTCTCTGACATGAGCATGCCACAGGGTAACCAAGCGGTGTGTGAAGGGCAGCCACCCGGCCACCATGCAGCAGTAGATGACAGAACAACACGCCCTAGGCACCCGCCACCGTCGGCATCGGGAGGGCCCTGGCAGACACCGGCGTCCCATCGCTGCACCACAGGCCTCGTGCCTGAGTCTAGTCGCACCTTGGCTCCAGCTGCCGGCTCAGGACAGAGGAAGGTGCTGAGCGGCACCGTCAGGATGCGAGTGCAGAACCCTGCACGGGCAGGCGCAGGATGCAGGGCCTCAGCCTTCGACACAGAGAAGTCACTTTTGTGACCGTCAGGAACCGTGCTGCCACGGAGTGGCGGAGCAGCAGGCTGCAGGGAGGGGAGTGCGTGCACTAGTGGCTGGGGAAGTCCCGTCTTCCCACCCAGGGGGACACAGGGTACCCATCTTATAATAACAACTCAAGATTCAGGGTCGTTTCCTATATGACTTTATTTTACGACAAAAAGAAAATAATTTATTAAAAAAATAAATGACTGTGTCTAACTTGGGAGGAAGGTATACAGCTCTTTTAACAAAAAGACCGAAGAAATGTCTCAGAGGCTCACACGAGCTCCTCACTCTCCAAAGGGCATAACTGCTCCTCCGTGGCGGTCCGGTGGCCAGGGCCACCTACGTGACCAGCTACTCACAGGAGGGCCTGGCAGGGCATGTGCGGGCCGGGGGCTGGTGCACTCCCCGGTGAACTGCGTGGGGTGCACGCATCCTTCCTGGACACACACACGCAAGTGCGCCGTGCAAGCAGGGACTGAGTCCCCTGAACCGCCAGGCCGTGAGCTCTTTAGGAATACCGCCAGACTCTGCATCTTTTAGCCAGCGTCCTCTCCAAGCCCTAGCACGGCGGGCCAGCCTGGAATGAACCAGAGCAGGCCGGAGCCCAAGGCACGTTACACTGGACCCTCATGAAATGCTCGAGTCTCAGAGACGTCCAATTTATTACATGGCAAACACGTTTCATGAAACCATTTCGGAGAGTGCCGCCTCACCTCTCCGGCTCAGGGTGCGCGGTGCCCGCCTCGGCGGCAGTCTGTCCTGGACTCCACTCCAGCGGGAGAGCTCCACGGCGGCCACAGGCTCCGCCCCCGCCCCCCTGGCGCAGGCCATGTGTCAGTCCTCGGCTTGTTTAGCCCCTTCTCTTGCCAACCTATCAGCTTCTTCGTTGCCTATGAACCCTGCGTGGCCAGGAACATGCATCTGTTAAATAGAAGTTGTCCTGTTATTTTTTAACTTGAATATGAGCAATACACAACTACATCATCCCTGATGGGAAGTTTAATGAGACACGCCTGGCGGGGATGCGTGTGCATGCATGCCCCAAATCCTGAGAATGGAGGGAAAGGGACTGTGGTGTAGCCACCCCCCGGGAGGTGCCTTCTCGTGCTCACTCGCTCTCTCTCTCTCTCTCTCTCCAGTAAGCACATGTACTCTACAACAAATTTTTAAAGAAGAAAAATAAATGCAATGATTCTGGATCAGCTCTGTGACCTCGTAGTTAAGGGAGCTGGCTCCCACGTGGCCAGCCGCGTGGTTCACGTCCTAGGACGACTTGGAAATCACACCCCAAGTCCATGCACATGTGACGTGCCAAGGGGATGCCAAATGGAGAGGGCCCGTGGCATGACCACACCTGGCTGGGGGCACATTCTTTTCCCTCTGCCTGTCTCTAGAGAGCTCACAAGCCCTCTGACAATTTTTAAAACTAAAGAAAATTCAAAGATTCGGAGCCAGCTGAAGCTCACCATCACAGCTAGTTCTCCCTGACCCAGGTCTGCACAGCATGAGCCACAAGGGAACCTGGAGAGGCTTATGGATTAAAGCTCACATTTATTTTGGTGCAAAAACATAAGCTGGAAATCCATGCAGTATTTTCACAGGAGGCGTTTTCTGTGACCTCTTTAAAGACGGCCCTCGTACATCGTACGTGTCTGCAATGGGCACTCACAGAAACGCGTTCTGCTCCTCCAGCACGCGGCCTTCCTGTGCACGCGGCCTTCCTTCCATGTAGTGACGGGGCATGGCAAGCTCTCTAGGCAAAGTGCACGCATATCCGATGGGTGGATGTATGAGTGCGTGACACACACGCATACCCTCCCTCTCTGGGTGCTGGCTGCTAGAAAGCATGGACTTAGCAACCCTCGCTGACGGGCCTGCACGCTGCAGCAGACCTGCACACCAGGTTACCGAACTGCTCCAGGGCCCCGGGGATCAGAACGAGATGGGGCTGGGAAGGTACCTGAAGTTTTACCTTTGTCTTCATCGTTTGAAAAAGTCTTAATAAAAATGACCCATTGTAAGGAAACTACTTCCATTTTGGAAAACAGCTGGGGACTCAGCCCTCATCACAAGACGGTTGCTATTTTAACAAAATGCATCATAACTGAGTCTCAGTTAACCACAGTGGCCTTGCGTGGGCCGGCAGGACCTGCCTCCTTGACATGACGCGAGCCTCCCCCCAGCCCCACGGCGTGGCTGTCTATCCGCAGCGAGACTCTCCTGACAGCAGCACCACCGAAAGGGTCAGATGTGGTATACACCCAGTATTAACTTCACGGGGATGCTTATTTGTATTTACTTAATTGCTGGAGGGTCCATGCACTGGCCAGAGGAACAGAAAGTCAGAAAGCAACTGCCAGTGGCCACGGTCACACTGCACCCCTTCTCCTCCCGGAGTACACAAGCACCCACAGCCAGCACGTTTTCTAAGCTGCTGGGGCTAGGATTTAAACCATGGTTGACAATGTGGGACCGGCTCCCTTTAACCACCAGGCTGTGGGCCGGCCTGGGAACTGTGATTCAGCCGGCAACATCTAATTGCTTAAAGGAATCTGCCGCCCCAGTTAAGTGTGACTATGGCCCTAATGACCAGGAGACGAGCGCATTCGCCCGAGTACTCGCCCACTGGATCTCCATGCCCTGGGTGAGCCTCTCCAGCGCCGCGAAGTCCTCCCTGTTGACCACCTCTTTGCCTGTGCTGGTTTTCCAGCCGTTCTTCTTCCAGCCGGGGACCCAGTTAGTTATCCCTGGAAGAAAGCGCACTCAGAGGCCATGTGATCCTGCGTGTCCTGGCCCTCCCCCGGTCCACCTCTCCTGCCAGCTCCTGCCTGGATCCACCCCCACCCACTTACGAGGGATGGGGGAACGATGGAGATCCTCCTGCCCCAACCTCCCAGCTAGTGGAGACTTCAGGTATGCACGCCTGCACCTGACACGTTTGGTCGGCCCGGAAGGAAGCCAGGCCCCAAGGGGAACTCCCTGTGCGCCCCACGGCCAGGTCCTACCACTTACATTGAGCCCCCACCCTGGACTCTTTAACCCCTAGGCAGTGTTTCTACTCCGGCCTTGGACACACGCCAGGAGCACTCGCCTCCTGCTCCTCTACCTTGTACATGCCTACAGCTTGCAGCTTAAGACATCCAGCGGGAAGCCTCCCCGCCCCAGCCCACACGGGCCCCTGTACACAGCCCTCCCGAGAGGCAGTAAGTGCACTGTGACCGCCAGGTCACCTGGAGGCCCTGAAGAGCACAGTCACCCATGACTACATCTCCAGTGCCCAGAGACGAGGCCCGGGACTCCAAAACCCTCACCCTCTCCTCCGCACTGACAAGCCAAGTGTCACCTGTCACCGCCCAGGGCCTCCCCTGCGCCCACACCACCCATGGGAAGGGAAGAGCATCTCCCCGTAGCTGCAGGGCGGCGGCAGGAGGGCCGCGGGCTCACCGTTGATGGTGAACATACTGTCCGTGTACAGCACCAGCTTGCTGATGTTCTGGGCCCGCGCCTGCTCGATGGCCTTGCAGGCTGCCTGGGAAACAAGCAGACGGCCGGGCTGTAGGGCGCTCAGTCGGACAGCCAAGGTCAAGACATGGGCTGAGCCCTCTCTACGCGGGGATCACCTCTACGCGAGCGTACCACGTCCCAGTCCCCTGCTGACGGTTACTTCAGACAGATCTGGAGAGTTCTTCTACAGAACCCCTGTTCTCTTCTTTAAGTTTACTTATTTACTTCCTTGCTGCGGGGGGACCCTCAACAGGGTCTTCATGGCACGACCCAGCCACAGCTTGGGCCCAGATGACAACAGCACAGGGAGTGCTCCCAGCATGGACGGCGAGGCCTCAGCATGCAAACCCAGACCCCGTGTGGGCGCAGCACACAGAGCACCGCGTCCCCACTGTGCTTCTAGTCGGCCCTGGGGTCCTGTCATTCAGAATAGCCATACCCTGAAGTTCCTCCTGGACTGAGTACCTGTGGCTGGCACGGGTAAGGCCAGCACGCAGGACCCACATCCTCCAGCGCAGCTGGGACTTACGTGAATTTCTGCTCTTTGGTTTGTCTGTCGGCCAGGAAGTCTAACGCCCACATTTCTGTTCAAAACGGCATGAAAGAAAGTGAGATGAGAAAGCTAACTCACAAAGGGAGTCCGCTCCATGGATAAAAAGCTAGCACACTTTATTTAAGATGGCAGCGTCGCATACATACGCAGACTCTGACAACCAAACCCAACGTCTCATTGAAGGGCGCCAGGATATAGAGCTGACGAAGGGTTGGACAGAGAGTCAAAGCGAAGTTCAACTCTGACCCTGAAGTTGTCAGTGTGCGCTCACCAGCACTCACTCAAGCCAGGACAGTCTGTGCCACACGGGCACGAGTCCAGCTTTCCCAGGATTTGAGCTGGAATGAGATGTCGTAGAGAAGGGTTCTGTAACCCGTGAAGCCCAACAGAAGCCATCTGCACTAGCCACCCTGACAGTGCATGTGAGTCTGAAGCTCCCACGGAGGAAGTGCGGGACGGGGACTGCAAGGGCTCAAGGCGGGGACCCTGAGCTCCAGGCTGTCTGCACCAGGGGCCAGGTGCCTCTGAACGATCGCCTCTTCCATGACCTCGACCGTGTGTCTGATGAAGACCAAGGGGAACCAAGTCCTGGGCCATCATAGTTGTGCAGTGCTGGAAGGGTTCTGAGCCCAGGCCAGCCCTCATGCACCCTGCCACAGCACTCTGGTGTGCCAGGTCACCCCATGGTGCCACCAGCGAGGACACGTGGTGTAGCAGCCTATGCAGCCTATCATGACGCTGCAGAGTGCAGCCAGGCAGGGCTGCGTGGACATGCCAAGCTCCACTGTGTAGGGGACAAAGCCACACACCCTCCTGCCCCTGCGGAGCTGCTACTCCGGCAGGAACACAGGACGACCACAGGCTGGAGGGCCCACCTCACTGTCACGAGTTCAGAACGTGACACCGGAGAATTAAATCAGTGCCCCCCCCCGCCCCACTAACTTACAGAGGGTGGCCAGGCCCCCAGTACACGCCGATCCCTGCACGCGCCCTCCTGCGCCCGTTGCTGGAGCAGCAGCCGTCGGTGTAGACAACAACAAAGTCTCCTGTGAGGGAGACAGGAAGTCAGTGCCACCCTGCCCTCCTAGATCCAGTAGGCCTTAGGATTCGGGCGGGACTGGCGCTTCAGCAGAGGGTGTTTCACGGAGCCAGCGCGGCCTGCAGAGCATGGGGATTTCCGACCACAGGGTCTTCGCGTGCAGTCTGCACCAGAGTTTTCTTAAGACTGCCCAAAGTTAACAGCTCTGTCACCTGGTCAGTCACAGGATGGCGACCTCACACCTCAGCAGCCTTTACACATGGGAATGAGGACGATAAACACTGGCCCACATTTTGCCCATTAAGAGCAGTGAACAGGGGCATAATGGCTACGTCACTGGACTCCCACATAGTCGACTGTGGTTCAAGTCCCAGACCTGGTGGCTTAAACTCACACTGGGCACTTGTGCGTGTGTGCCCAAGATCTGGAGAAGAGAATGGAGAAGAGATTGCGGTGTGGCCATCCCCCCGGGGGGTGATTTCTCGTTTTCTATCTCTCTGTCTCTGTCTTCCTGGTAAGCACACATGCCCTATTGCAAAAACCTCTCAAAAAAAAAAAAAACCAGAGTGGTAAATGGGGGTGAGCAGGTGGCATGGTGGTTAAGGCACATGACTCCCACATGGCCAACCACAGTTCGAGTCCTGGACCTGGCAGCTTGCTTTCTCATTTTCTCTCTCTCAAGTGGAAAAATAGTAATAACAATAAATAATTCTTAAAAAAAAAAAAGTGGTAAACGAGGGTCAGCTAGTGGCATGGTGGTTAAGGTGCAGGATCCCACACGACTGGCTCTGTAGTTCGAATCCCAGACCCAGTGGTTAGAGGAGCCCACCGGGTACATGTCTGTGTGCCTGGGGTCCTGAGAGAACGGTGAAGGGGAGGGGCTATGGCACAGCCATCCCTCTGAGAGTGATTTCTCACTTTCCCCCTCTCTGTATCCCTCCGACAGGTACACATGCCCTATGGCAAAAAAGCAAAAAACGAAACAAGAGGGGGAGTGTTTCCCCTACAGACGCGTTTACGATGGTCATGTTTAAGTAAACGTGTCCAGGACAGACGCACCCATGTAGGAGAAGGCATCCTTGCCCAGGGCAGGGACCAGCTCCACGCTCTGCCTCCCATGTTTTGCACAGGGCCCTGGGTCCTCATCCCCGTCTCCACATGGCGGCTCCCGCAGGCGCTTGCTGGCTCTCACCGGCGAACTGTCTACAGGTTCGCTCTTCTGTCCTGAAAGAGAGAATCTGTCATGAGCCTGAGACAGGAGCGACCCGTGAGCTGACCAGAAGGAAAACTTATTTTTTATTTAACTTTATTTATTTACTTACTTATTTTAATTTGACCAGAGAGACAGAACAAGAGAAAAAGTGAGAAAGCAAACTGCCAAGTCTGGAACTTGAACCGTGGTTGGCCATGTGAGAATCCAGGCACTTAACCAGCATGCCACCTGCTGGCCTCCCTATAGGCAATGTTTTTAAGAGATGCTGACTGAAACTGCTCCACTCAGTGTTAGCTCACGGTAGTCAAAGCCGCTATGTGAAGTTAATGAAGTCACCGCATTTTTAAATCCTGTGCTCTAGAACAGGATTGCCTGTTCATCTTAGTCCTACAGATCTGATATCCCTCTGTGTGTGTGTCTGTGTGTGTGTGTGTGTGTGGAGAGGTTTATGCCATAGGACGCATGCGCTTGCCAGAGAGAAACAGAAAGTGAGAAATCACCCCCCGGGGGGGATGGTCACTCCGCAATCCCTTCTCCTCCCTTCTCCTCTCGGGATCTTGGGCATGCATGCACACATGCCTGGTGTGAGTTTAAGCCACTGGGTCTGGGACTCGAACTGTGGTCAACTACGTGGGAGTCCAGAGATATAGCCATTACACCAACTGCTGGTCCCTGATATCCCTTTTTATCAGGCCTTAAACTTCAAATAACCCTACTTTTTGTAATACATGAAATTAGAAGAAATTCAGATTGTGATTCTGTTCTAAGTGTAAAGGAAACTCCATATGTAAAAGTGCACGACATGACAGACACCACACTCATCCTTAAAAGCCGCAGCCAGCTCAGTCTAGTGACAGCAGTTTTCAAGAACATATGGAACGATGGCGATGTGAGGACTCCACACAACTACTAGCTGGGCAGCTGTCAGCCTATTTCTTGATCCGGAAAATGGAACCAGTCCAAGTATCTCCTCACGTACCCGTAGGCAGCTACGGCATGGACCACGGGGCATCAGGGTCGTGAAAAGCTAAGGCCCGCAGGTGATGTGCTGGCTAAGGCAGCTGGGTGTCACATAGCTGGCTGAGCAGTTCGAGTTCTGGACCTGGCACTTTGAAAAGCACGGTGGGTGCGTGTGTGTGCATACTCAAAATCCCAAGAGGAGACTGGAGGAGAAGGGACTGTGGTACAGCTATCCCCCCTGGGGAGTGATTTCTTATTTTCCCTCTTGCTGTGTGTCTCTCTGGTCCATGCACATGCCCTACAGCAAGAACAAAGAAAAAGAAAGGCTTTGAATAGTGTGAAATGTTGAGCAGATGTGAGTGGTGACTACCTTCTGAACTATCCGGGCTTGCGGAGCTCCTGACAAAGGCCCAGGCCTCCTTTTCTGTGGCAAACTTCTTAAATCTAGCAGCAGGAAACCGGTCCACCTGCACTCTGCACTCATTCCTGGAAAGACATGCAATGTTAGTTGAGACCTCCTCCCCTCTTAACTAAGACTCTTCTGAGTTTGGTCACAGGGTGGGAAAGGGCAGGCAGGCAGTTCCTTGGGGGCAGAGGGCCTCGCCTTAGTTACCACTCCAGCTCCATCAGACCTACAGCCTGTATCCTGCTATGTGGGCCACAGTGCTCCAGCACCACCCGGCTTTCCTCACTCACTGCATGCTAAAATCTGGGGGTCTTTGAAAAAAAAAAAAAAAAACTATTTTGACAAAAGAAAAAAAAAACAGTTTCTGAAATGTTGAGCAGATGTGAGTGGTGACTACCTTCTGAACTATCCGGGCTTGCGGAGCTCCTGACAAAGGCCCAGGCCTCCTTTTCTGTGGCAAACTTCTTAAATCTAGCAGCAGGAAACCGGTCCACCTGCACTCTGCACTCATTCCTGGAAAGACATGCAATGTTAGTTGAGACCTCCTCCCCTCTTAACTAAGACTCTTCTGAGTTTGGTCACAGGGTGGGAAAGGGCAGGCAGGCAGTTCCTTGGGGGCAGAGGGCCTCGCCTTAGTTACCACTCCAGCTCCATCAGACCTACAGCCTGTATCCTGCTATGTGGGCCACAGTGCTCCAGCACCACCCGGCTTTCCTCACTCACTGCATGCTAAAATCTGGGGGTCTTTGAAAAAAAAAAAAAAACTGTATTGACTACAGCAAAAAACATCAGTTTCTGAAATGCTTCCTCTGAATTCTGCAGCTACCATACACACAGGAACACAGGCGCCTACACAGCTAAGCCTTGCTATCATGTAGCCGGAAGTCTTGGTCGGCAGAGCACTCGGTCCCTGGTCCTCCCTCCCCACTTACTCACCCCTGAACTTGCTGACCACGTAATGACATGTGAAAACCAGGACAATTCAGCCGCCTCCGAGGCCTGCTGCAGGGATCCGAATGCAAATACTAGTTTACCAAAATTTGTCTTTTTAAAAGCATAGGGGAGGGTTAGATTAGGCATTATCTGAGTTCCTGCTCCAATTTAGCTGGTGCTGTGCTACCTTTCGGGTATTTAATTACAAAAAAGAAGGACCAGCGATCCCTGGCTACCCTCAAGCTCTATGTGGCGTTTCTGACACTCCGAACAGAACTTCCGTGTGGTCGGCCCCAGCGAAGCCCCGGGCCGACGCGGCTGGCATGAAGCCGGGCACCCCCGGCCCCGCCGGCCCGCAGGGGGGAGCCTG